GACTGCGGGGGCCAGCCGATGTACAAGTCAGTGTTTTTATCCTCCCAGACAAGTCTGGTACCAATTAACCGACCCCGGAGGGATGGAAGGCTTGGTTGGCCCGGGCGACTCACGACCCAGGATTTGATCCCCGGACCGCTCGCGTGGTGAGCGTGCCACTTGCCACTACACCACTTCCGCCCTAATGTTATCCTTTAAAAAGCTTATGAAGCAGGAAAGCGCAGTGCTATACTCTGGCTAACAGGCAAAAGGTCGGAATCGACTCCAAAGCGAGTCCGCACTTTCGCTCTTCTCAAAACTACGTTAATTCTCTCTGACTTGATTCCGAAAAAAGCAAAAGCACGGACTCGCATTGGAGTCGAACCCACGACCTCCCCCTTTTAACAGCCTCTACCGCTGCATGCTTCATAGTTTCTTGCAATAAATCAATCCACAGGTAACGAAAACAGGTTTGAAGTAATCGACTCGTGTCATGCATATAGGTATACACCTTATTTTGTATGGTCGGACTGGGCAATTGACCTCTCCTTGTAGACAAAGTTATGAACGTTCTTCACCAGGCTTTCAGCATAATCGATGGTGAGTGACGTCGTTTGCTAGGATGGCTGGAGGGTAAATTAGCGGATTCTTCGATTCAGGCTCGGTCCCTTCGTGCTCTTTGATTTTTTCTGATTAGACATTAGGAAGCAGCTTGCCACAACACAAGGTTTGAACGATTTCGGTAGCCTGAATTGTTGGGGTGTAGCTCATACCGGAGTTTGGGTGTCCCCCAAGAGGCCCGTCGAAGCAAGAGACGCAGATGCGGCAAAGGACGAGTCGCAGCGCGTGCTGTGCGATATGAGACGTAGTATGGTACACTCTATTTAACCTGACGCCTAACCGCTACAGTATGCGCTGCGACTCGTCCTTTGCCGCGTCTGCGTCTCTTCCTTCGCCGCGCGGTGGGCCTCTTGGGGACACCCCAATTTTTTGCAGGGCATGGTTTCGAGCCTCGTAGGGCAACATTTTTTGCAAGGCATGGTTTCGAGCCTCGGCAGGGATCGAACTCGCGGTTTTCAGAGGTGCAGACATGAGTCTAACCTCTTAACCACTCGGCTATCCCTGCCTTGCAACTGAACATCTAGTGACCAGTATAGCTGAGGCGTGCACAACTCCGAGATCACTTATTGGTGTCATATTATCTTAAGCTCCCGACTGCGAAGCACGGCGAAAGCCGCAGTTGGCACCGCTCGTGCGGCTTACCTTCGGTTTGTCGTCACAACAACAAGGGGCTCCTGACCCACACCCGTTCCGAAGATTTCGTTCTTATTCTTGTGATTACCTTCGGTAAAACTACATCCGAATGAGTTTCAAAATTCACTCGCACAAGAGACACCACCACCGCTAGCTAAGTGGGTGAGCCTTAGTGACCTCCAGCATATTTATGAACCGCATGGTTTCAGCCATGCCCTATTATACACCGTATCAAGCGCACTATGGTTATCACTTATAAATACAAATGAGGAAAACGGGTAAAAAAGGTCAATGGGAACGGATCACTCAAGCTCCTTGTTCTAAGGGGATCGTGAATAAAACTTGTTCTATTCATATACGACCTCAACCAAAATCACCGATCCTCACCATAACTCCCGCTCCGATCACCTCAATGAGACCTCCAACGCAAAGTATAAGAAGAATCAAAAAATTGAGGCATTCCCATCAATTTGGTCACCAGTTTCTCCAAATTCTATGTCAAATAATCTGATGGTACTGGAGGAAGTCTTGAATACAACGAGTGTCCGTTCTTATCTCGAGAGAAAATAATATCCAAAAAATTATGGCTACAGATCAAAACAAATACCAGCTAGCAAGGTCTTCAAATTTTCAGATCTGAATCTTACCATTTCTGTGAGCATCTAGCTTTCTGTGAAATTGAGATTTGATTTTGGGATTTCTGTGAATCTGCGTCATTTGTTTTTACTATAGTAAATTTCGAACACAACGCTGACAAATAATGAAAACATCCTTCATCAAGTCCATATATTGAATTTATAACTAAATTAGGATTTTCTGTACAATGACTCTTCAGATCTAAGCTATACTTCTTGTGCCCTTAGACTTCGGTCGATGGGCATCGATTTCCTGGGCCTCCTGGATCCTCCGACTTTCTGCTTGCTTGTGAGCCGCCTCCATTTCATTCACTTCACTTAGTAGCGCGACAATTTTCTTCTGAAGCGTCGAACTTTCACAAATTATAAGCATATTCCATCCCCTAATTCTTCAATAAGTCCAGTTATTGTCTTACCGCTAATCGCAGCTGCGGCTTGCTTGTAATCAACTGTATATTCCTCGAGGTCACCATGAATGGGTCGCCCATCTGAATAGGCGTAGCAAATATTCGATGCTAATTTAATATTAAAAGAACATAAAATTCGACAAAACACGACAAAACCTGAGAAAAAAAAACATACCAGCATGAGAAAAATCAGGTCCCATTTCAAGTGGATGAATATGTGGTGCAGTGTATACCCTCAAATCAAACACATTTGAGAGGAGAATAAGAGGAATTGGAATTCTAAAGAAATAATACTCACGGCGTTTTCCAGTTTTGGAATCGACCTCTAAATCGCGCCACGCTCCCACTCGCTGAACTAAGCTGCCGCATGTGAAGAATGGTCCTACTCGACGACATTGCCTGACAGAATCTAAGGATTCCAATAAATTATCATATTTGTCATGCACGCCACTGCGTAAGGGATTCAAATATGTGATGGACAAACCATAAAATCGCAAAGCAAAGACTAAGTCAAACTTTGTTCCAATCGACAAGCCAAAAAGTAATAACGAAATAGGAATGCACATAAAAGTTTACAACGCAAAATAAATAGAATAATTGAAGGAATATTACGAACAATATATTCTGAAAAGAACACGGTAGAAATCGGCTAAATTCCAACCGATACATTTGCAACAAGCAGAGCGTTACAGCAAGAGGTAAGAAAATGAGAGCATACATCACGAGACTATTTCACATTTCACGAAAAGATGCTTGTCGTGTCAAACGATTTCTTTCTATGTGACAAAAGTCACAGAGCGGAAGAAGCCTACCAAAGGGCGATTTAAATAACCGAAACTAATGCCTCAAGAGAAGAAAAGAAGTCAGAAAGAACGAAAATTTTAAGCCATGCGACAGATAATTCGTGAAAGTGTGAAGTTATCTGATAATCTGGATCTGGTAAAAAGTGAGCTGCTATGCCCACATTTTTATCACACTGTCCCATCCCGCCGTTAAAATTTTACTCTTCTCCTTCGGATGCCATCGCGCCGAAATGCAAGTGTTATCGTGAGCTTTCCATCTGGCCACAATCTTTATGTGTCCTCCAGTCCCAGATGAAAAGCTTACCGTCAGCATCTCCGCTTATTAAGTAGCTGCAAGAGTCACCATTGTAATTCAAAATCATAAAACTTTATAAACGAACTATTTTACCTCATATCAGGACTGAAATCAGTTACACAAGCATAACCTGCGGAATTGTGTCCTCTGAACGCTTTTTTCTTTGCAAATCGTAACTTGTCGTCAATTAATTGGAACAACAATTCGGTTATCCATTGATTGACCGACCACCCATTTTTCTAAAACACTAGAATCACTAGAAAGAAGCTGCACTTATGCACAAAAAAACTGGCAGTAACTGTCAGAAACGTACCATTAGGACTCTTGTTCATCGTTGGTATAGAGTGTAGGCCCACATTCTGTATAAGCTTAGTATCAACAGGAATTTCCCATTCCCATATCCTTATTGATTTATCATCCGAAGTCGATGCAAATCGCCGATTCTTGTCGAAGAAAGTAATGGAATTCACTGCACCCAAGTGACGATCATACTCCTAAAAACACGACCATAGAAATATAAACGTAGGTGAAACAGCTGAAGCACAACACTTCGTGACCAATTTCGTGCTATATTTGTCTTACAAGCAGAATTACACTCAAACCAATTTGACGATAAAATATTGAGATTTCTGTGAACCTCTTTGACAGCTCAAGTATAAAGCTCAACGCCAAAAGAGCAGAAGAACCGAAGAAGGAATAGCCAGTATTCTAGCTTCAATTCTAACCATGTTGTATTTCCCATAACTTTCCAATCAAATGAGTAAAAATTAATCCAAACATCGAAAACATCGTAGCTTGAAGCAGCACATACCTGTACAATCTCACCCGTACGTGTATCCCACTGAACAATTTTCTTATTCTGCATCCCTGAGAGGAACATATGATTTTTATCATCGTCTGGATGGAATTTAACACAGAATGGAATATGACCAGTGTGGAAGCGTTGCTTAACCTAAAGAGTGAAGAATGGATTACAGATTTCATAAAAAAATTTATTCGGAGAAGCAGAATGTGAGTAAATTCCCATATTCTAATGACCCTGAACTGCCGACTCACCTGGCCTGTTTCCGTGTCCCACAACTTAATGTATCTATCGAAACTCGCAGACAAGAATTCCGTCCCTTCATTATTGAAAGCGACCTCTCGCACAGGAAGTTTGTGGCCAGAATATGTCCGAACAACCTGGTGCTTCCCATAGACTTCCCAAAGCTTGATCTAAAAAAGCAAAATATGAGAAAGCAGAGTTCATAAAAATTGGGATAATATTAAATCACCTTAGTATCCATAGAGCATGACAGAAAGAGATGTGCACTTTTTGGGAACCATTGAAGGCAGTTAACGCCTTTAGTATGCCCTTTGTAGACATGGATTTGTTTCTTGGGAATGAAACACCTGAAAATTCAAATTATGCCGAACCATGGGAAGAGACAGGAATGAACAACTCACTTTTCTGGAGCCGCATCTGCCCGCAAGTTGACACCAGTGAACGCAGGTGGCACAAGGAATGAGCGCCCTTGATAATCCTGGGCTTCTCTTCACTAAATAAACCCCTTCACTTTGGCTCCAAACGCATAAAAATCCCAACGAATAACGTAGCAAGCCAATACAAAACTCCTCACGCGTTATCACCCGTGGTGCTGTTGCTTTCGTTTGACAACACGCCGGCTGTTAGTCCGTCTAAAACGAAATCTGCTTTGAGCAACCAACAATTTCCACAAATTGCAATACTAACCTTTCTAGTGATTTCATCCATTTCCTTCTGCAGTTCGGGATCTGGCTTAGCTATCGTCTTCTCATCGCAGTACTTAGCCCAAGGTCCTAAAAAGATTTTGTTCACTTAGTGTGAAATTATACGCACTCCAAAATTGCTAGAGTAAAACCTGTGTATCCTTCAATGTCTGATGGATCAAAGTTGGCTTGTCGCTTCCGCTTTTCTCCGCCAGTTTTCTTTGATTCGAACAAAGATTCGCCTTGATTTTCGATAGCAGCCTCCTTGTTGCCAATATATTCATGACCTAAAGGTTGTGGTGAAAGTTTGTAAAACAAAGTCTAAGTATTCCGAGATCTCATGAGGCTTAAGAAATACACCGACTTTTATCAGCAGTGGGATTTCGGGCGAACCGATTCAAAACTGCGAGCTCGCGAGTGAAGTGAAAGTCGTTGATATGAGCCGCCTCTACGAACCTGAAAAAAGTCAAACTTGTAATACTTCGTTCCTCCATAGTCATGAGAAAATCCAACAAAAATTGTGAGTCAGTAGCCATTCTCGCTGTTGCCTGAACATTGCATGAAAATTCATGGAATTTTCGAGAAAGAGAAGAACAGAAGGCGAGGTACGAAATAGTGCGTCTGTGACAATGAAAGGCGTATCAAAAACGCGATAGCAACGGCTTTCATTCGTCCCTTGATCCCCAGGAGTAGCGATACCAATTCGCACAGGGCTGCGGGTCAAGTTGATCAGGCATATGTCAATGGCCGCAATCAGCAGTTGCTACTTTAATGGAACGGCAACGTTGCACACCGACGATTTCATTAGGTTTTTTTTCAGATGAGGCTGCCATAGCCATCTCTACATACGTTCCACGGTCACGCAATCTGAGACTTAACAGCACCTGGGCCACTCTCCATCTACCCCTTCATGAACATTCTGTTATTATCGGCAATTCCAACATATAATGAGGCACACCAGTCTCCACATCATCTTGGCTAGCCGTACAAAGAAAATTATTTGAAGAAATATGCAATAGCTTCACCAGGACTAAATCCATCTCCATCAACGTATGTTCCTCCAAACTTTGATGCAAAGATTTAAAAAAGGAGGACAATAAATAACAGACCACACACCAGGGGCTGTGGGGGTGGGGGGCGGTGCAAATCCGTACCAAAAATGTAGGTTAAAATATCTATAAACACAAATGAAAAATACCATTAACAAACACAAAACAACTTATAAGAAATACAAATTTTTATCAAAGAAAAAACAATGTTCTGACCATTATTAGCACAAAACAAACGCAGTTCAAAGACGAGCTCTTACTCCAGTGAGAACATTCTCTGAGCTTTTTGCGTTTCGCTCTAAAGGTTACTAGAGCAGCCTGCAAAGTACATATAAGAAGAACAATGCGGAACAACGTGTTTTTTTTTTCTGACTAAACGAATATAGTGAGATCAACGCACCTCAGCGAAAACAGTGTTCATATCTCGATTGTTTGATCTTATTGTCCTTGATCCACTATTGACAACTATTGTTTTCCAATATACTTTGAGTTGCAATCTGTCAAGAAGCAACCATGTTTAGAGAACCATCATATTTAGCGAGGTAGTAACGCTAAGGATTTATACAAGATTACAAGAATGAAAAAATTCCAAACGAAACTGCTACCAAAGTTAATTCTACCAGGGAATTAGGCAAGAGATTTACAATTCTTCAGCGAGATTGCTGCGCTGGGTCATCATCCGACAATTCTTCATCACTTGCACATACCCTTTCAGCAGATCCATCTGAAAAACAAAATATCGCAACCACTTAAATATTTTCGAAGATACTCTTCTCCTGTAAACCACCAGCACCACTCGCATCGGTGGAGGAGGGGGAAAAGATGGAACAAAGCTGTAAAATATAATGACACCTTCCGCTTCAATCTTCTGCACGAATTGGTAAAAGGTGACCTATGTCACACAAAACATCGAACTCTGCGTTTTCCAAGAATATCGGGTCTGTTTGGTAACGCGTGGCGTTGCTGCGCACAGCCTGCCACTTTGGCTCAAGGAGTGTTTAAAGTTACGAACTGCTACCAGCTATATTCTACGTTATTTCTTCAGTTTGTTTGTATTGTGTAGGAATTATCGTGCAGGATGACGTAACGTCTATTGAAGGTAATATTCACCTAGTGAGGGCAAAATAGAACTAATCGTAGAAGGAAGTCCCTTCGGAGCAAATGAGGACTGCTCACAAGCCAGGGTTTTCCTCCCCTCCATGGCTTAGTGCTAAACATTTTTGCTTCTGCTAAGTGCACCACATTTTGTGTCTAGGGTTTTTGCTAAGTGTAAACACGTTGAATTGCATAAAGCCTCCATCGTCCAGAACTGAATGGCGAACGGGTAACAGAAAGCGCCGTCACAAAATATCCGTCCACTGCTGTGAAAAAAAAAAACTTCGAAACGTAATTGCCCTTCTCCCTCTCTTTCTCGTCATACTTTCGAAATTTGCACGCGACACCCCTCTCGTACTACAAATATCTAAGCGAAATAGGTTACGGGGCAGTGAACAACAAAAGCATAAGAGTCCAGCCAGAAGATGCATATATCTCTGCGCTTCCTTCTAAGACTAAGCCTTTTAAAGGAAGGAAACAAATCAGAGACGCTGTAATAGTGTGCATATGCGAGAGTGCCTAGAGAACACTACAAAACGCTGAATCACCAAGAACCTTCCGGTTGACCGCTGCCCTCGGACGAGTAAAATAATAACCCCAGCAGAAGATGTCCTGGACAAAATGAAGTGGCGACGACTGAAAAAGACAGCGGACCCCGCAACTGCGCGGGCTTACACCAGAAAAGAAGGAGGCACTCTCAGTGTCCCTACTCTTCTGCTAGAATGATTCGCTCTGCAGCAGCACTACGACTCTTCATGCGACTCAACTGTGAAAAGTTTCACTGAACACTATTAATCTGAAAATGCGCTGATTTTCGAATGGCTAGCTTTGTAGAGAAACTTTTGAAGTTAAAAAGGGATTGAACAGTTGGAGTGAAAGCCACATATCCCGGAAAAAATGACAGCGCTTATTAATCTTCCTTCATTGACACGCCTCCCCCGACCTTAGTGGTCGAACCAACTTCTACCTCCTACCGCATCAAAAGAATAAAATGAGTAGATCTTATGATGGTTACGAGAAATTTCATATACCCTCCCTTTCAAAAAAGAGAAGAGCGTCGGGTGCAGACCATACACCACAAGTGACGACGGCCTCCAAGTAAATCTGGTTAGTAGTGGTTCATAGTGATAGCTGATTTTTGGTAAATGATAGTTGTAATTAGTGACAACTGATAGAATACAACTGCAACAGGCTAATCATTTCATTGGCAGAAAACATTTACATTTTGTGAGGCCGTCGTCACTTGTGGTGTATGGTCTGCACCCGACGCTTTCTCGTTTTTTGAAAGGGAGGGTAAGTGATCAGTGATACTCTTCAATCCTCTCAGGCTGTGAAGAAGGCGATCCGCCGGAACGTCAGTCGTCAATGAAGATCAATAACATTCGCTGGAAGGGGTGAAACGGAAGAAACCAACCATACTAGTGAACTAGGCTACTAATGGGAACTCGCAGTTTCCTTCACAACCTTTTTACCGTTTGCTAACAAGCTCTCTACCGTCCGCACAATGTGGGAAGAGTTGTACGAGATATATTTATGCGCAATGCCCACGGCCTATGCAAACTCGCCGTCTGCAAAACAGTTCCCCGCCGTATCGAATGCATACCGACTTCCATTTGCACCTTTTGTTACGCTCGATGATTTATTAGACCACTGCAGCCACGACAAATGCTTCTTTTAAGGTTCCTATCTTAACACCGCAGGTGTCAGAAAGCGCTCCCGAAAGCCAACATGGATGATTTCATAGTATCAAATGATGTGACATCAATATCCCAATCGAGTAATTTGCTGGGTATGTTTATTTTATAAAAACAATAACAATTGCGATCATCAAGGTACAAAGGCAGATTTATTCTTTGAGATCGCGTAGACGACGGATGGTTGATCGTACAGTCGCGGCAGTGACAGTTCCATAAACATATCTAGAAATAGTTCGTACAAACAGTTCACAGCACAGAGGAAAAAACTTTAAATGAAATTATTCTTGAATCAAAAACTTACGCTCCACCAGCAACAGTCTTGTGACACTTTGAGCAGCTCCAGATGCCAACGGCTTTACGCTTCATGGCCTCTTTTCCGCAGAACACGCAGGTGTACCGGGAATGCTGGGTCACCTCCATCTTCTTGACCATTTTACGCAGAGACGCTCCATATCGAGTGCCGTACTTTCCGACGATACCGACCTTCTTTGTGCGCTTGGCCATTATAACCCTATAAGCAGAGTGACTGGAAAAATCGAATAAACATGGCTGCCACGAAGTGCGACTTCACGATAACGTTACCACGGAATGGATTGCGAGTATCCTTTTCGGATTCACATAACAACAAACCAAAGCGGACCACATGAACTCAACATTAATGGAAGGGTTAGGTGTTGAAAACACCTTACTATACTGCTTTATTTTCTAAATCTCGTGAAAGCCGATGAGATGTGCGATGAGAAAGTGAGAATAGAGCCGATTGTATCAAAAAAAAAAAAAAAAAAAAAAAACATTGCAAACAATAAAATATGCCGTATACAGTCGATGGAGTGATGCTACCACCAACACGGTCTACGGATCAAGAAATCATTCTCATCTAGGCTTGTGATTAGCAAGCCACCGCTACCTAAAAGTAAAAAGCCTTTCTACGGGATAATCAACTTTCGAGACTCGTATTGAAGAACAAAAACACTGAAGTGTACCTTGATTAGTATCTGCAAACAAATGCACAAATAAAGTACGCATCCAAAGATCACACGACCCAATGGAGACCATAACAAAAAAAATATTAAGACCGCGTCACACCTCTGCGACGGAACAACGATGGAAGTCGACGCGATTCGCTATCCGTCGTCCGATGTCGGGCGATGCACAGACTTTGCGAATTGGCCGATTCGCGCGACGGAATCTCGCGACTCACCATTATACTCCCATTCATGACCAATCGCTCAATCGCGCAGTGGGCGCGATCACTTCCAGTTGTGAGACAGGGAGCGATTCAATACAAGACAGATAACAAAGGCCGCGGATTCACTGTTACCGTAATCCGTGTTAGCATTGGTGCGCGCTGCAGCAAGCATTGGCGCGCTTTTTAGGCGACGCAAGGATTAGCACGAAGAGCCAAAAGATTGGGAAAGTCACAAAGCGGTGGAATAAAGAGTAGACAAAGGAGCACGAAAATAGAGCAGAGTAGGCAGTCCTGAGAGAGTATTAAAGAAGACCATTTGGTACTTGTTTTCCTGTCGCTTGCGCCCTCTCACTGGTTTGATCGCTATCAGGACTAAGCATTTGGCGAGAGGAGGCTCAGAGGTGAGCAAGGTGAGCCACTCACCTTGTGATCTCACACATTTCATCTCTTACTACACGATGCGCAATTCACCCAACGCGGTGTTCCCCTTCCCATCAAGAGGCACTAGACCTAAGTGAGAGTCCAGGACAGCAGAAAGTATGCGTTAGTCAGCGCCAGTTCTGAAAAGCGAATGTACGAATGTAATGTAATGTTAATGTAATGTAAGCGAATGTAATGTTTACGCCGAATTTAGTGAAAACAGCCGTCGTGACAAGGTGGCCACAAATGGCGACAAATGGCGCCAGCGGCATGAGCGAATACTCGTAATCACCTATCAACCGTAGGGCCTGGTGATTCAGGTTTTCATGGTGTTCTGTGGGCACACTCGCATATGCACACCATTACAGCATCTCTCCTTTCTTACCTCCTTCG